TACATAATGGAAAAACCCAGATGCCTAATGCCAAGTTATTGTCTGTGTGTTTACTGGTATATGCAAAAAAATACATTTATGTGTTGGGAACTTACGTGGGACACAAGAACCAAACTTGTCCGGAAATTCCGCAATCAGATCTTCATTGATTTTGTCCTTCATGGGTCCAAGAATGATGACAGGTCTAGCATAATCAACTGAACAGGAATACACAGAATTTCAGCACTGTCATTAACCTTTCTTAAAATCTCAGCACATTTGCCATTTTATTTGTTTATTTTTCAATGTTGTTATAATTGTAATGGATTGTCAGAAAAATTGCCAACCTTGACTAAGGCAAAAATAAGTCTTTTTCCATTTGCCAGCTCAACCCTGATGTAAGTGTATTTACTGTACATTTAAAGCAATTCTACATAAATAACTTGAAGTAAAGTACAAGATAAAATTTGTTTTATACCAGACACAAAGTAGCAGACACAAAGTGAAAACAACAGTGAAGTTGTTTTCACACCAAGTGAATGGGGAGATTACTTAATAGTTAGGGTTAGGCATGATTTGTAAGGCTTTACACACAGAATTAAGACTCCTCTGTAACATCAGCCAGTAAATGAATAGTCTTTGCAGAGCCTAATTGAGGGGAGTATTACAAATTCAATCTGCTTCATACCTCTGACCTCCACCATGCTAGGACGGGCTGATCTTCTTTTATGTATAGCTCAACAAGAAATTTACAGAAATCAAATACAAAGACACATACACCTGTTTTTCCTCATTGGCTGAGGTAAAATCAAACCAAACTTATTTTGCTTTAGGTCTGTTACAATAACCATAATTCAACATTAAAACATTAAAACTACATTAAGATTCTTTTAGGGGAATTTCCTACTGAGTATTTGTTATTTTTTCCTTTTTCAGACAATCCACTTACTTTCTTGGCGTAGCACATATTCATAGGAGAGACTTACATCATCTTGATTTCCTGGTGAGATGAAAAGAGAAAAATATTAGAACTTTTCCCCACAATTGAAAAATGTTCAAGTAGAGTCATGTCATTTGAAAAAACAGATTTAACCCTTTCATGCATGAATTATGATCCTTTGTGTCAGGATTTTTGTCATTTTTTTATTTTCTTAAGGCATAAAAAAGGGAGGGACAAAATTTAGTAAAAACTTTTTTTATTTTATTTTATTTTTTTTAGGTGATCAATTGTAATTTTCTCCAAATACAAAGTTATTTGACAAATACATCAGTAGTATTGTTCTTTCGTGGTTATCTGATGTCACAATATTTTTTTTACTTGCAAGAGTCGTCTACAGTAGAAGGAGGCACAGGGTCGGTTGGAATCCTCTTTTGTCTGTTGGCCATATTGGATTTAACAAAAATAATTTCTTCCATTTGCAGCTGATGGCCAGTAGTTGATAGTGTATTTTATTAGTGCCCACTTCAGTGGTCTGTGCATTTATAACATAAAAATCCATACGAAGCACAAGAAAATGGCTTTTAGATAGCTGTCCACTGTAGTGACCAGTATTCATGAAAGGGTTAAGCTGACATATTTGCTCCAGATCGTTAGGCAAGTTTTTATGAGGTTAAAAATCCACATTGAGGCTTTAAAATATTTCATAAACTTAAATACAATCAGAAATTCAAACCAGGTGAAAAACTTTACAAACTTTACGTTGGGCTGATTTAAACTGATACCCTAAAAAAAAGTCAGTTTCTGGGTGTTTTGATGGACTCAGACATGAACCTTAAGATGCTAAGTAAAGAGAAAAACAATAGGCCTTCGCAGCGCTTAGCTGCTCAGGCCTAATTACAAAGTCAGCCTTCTGTCACATGATGAGTGATGAGTTTCTAGATAAACTCATCCATGCATTTATCATTAGTTGCATTGATTAGAACAACAGTGTCTTCACAGGTCTGCAAAAAAGTTTCTAGGGGGCTCTGTACCAAGGATACATACACAAATTTCAAGAGAAAAATTAACACACAGGCAATATTTTTATGCTCCGACATAATCTTAATTAGAGTCTTGTATATACTTTCATACACAAAGACAGGCTGCATAATGAGGAAGTAATTCACCCATTTTATTCAGGTGTATTGGACTAGGGACACAACAAAACATTTAGGGACACTGGCTCTCTAGGCCTGGATTTAAAGACCCCTGGTCCTTCACCATCTTCACCCAATGTCCTTTAATTAAACTGAATAAAAGATCTTATGCTACTCTTTAGCCAGTTGAAGTGGCCCAGTCATCTGGTTAGGATGCCTCCTGGACGCCTTCCTGGTGAGGTGTTCCGGGCACGTCCCACCTGAACGAGGCCCAGGAGAAGACCCAGGACTCACTGGAGGGACTATGTTTCTCGGCTGGCCTGGGAAGGCCTTGGGATTCCCCCAGAGGAGCTGGCCCAAGAGGCTGGGAAGAGGGAAGTCTGGGCCTCCCTACTTAAGCTGCTAGCCTCATGATCCAACTCCGGATAAGTGGAAGTAGAAGGATGTTACTTCTTAAAAACAATTCATGTAATTTTATGTGATTACATTCTTTTCATGAATTGCTGAAAAAAAATTATTTCTGCTTGGCAGTGTTTTCTATGGAAAATAATATCTTTCATCTCTTTTAACCTTTTAGAAATGCTACCTAACAGACCAATAAACAAAGTTTGGACCAAAAAATATCAATAGATCAACACTTTTGGGTAAAAATTATGGTAAAAATAAAATAGAACAGAACAAGGTCTCACACACTCCAAACTTTAGATGAGAATTGCACTTTGACAGACAGTCCAACATAAGAAAACAGTAAAAAATGAACTGCTACAGCATGCAGGAATACAGAAAGGAGAGACATGCTGAGACAAAAATGTTTATGTTCAGCAGTGGTGCCCAAAGTCAGTCCTCGAGGGCCAGCATCCTGTATGGTTTAGTTGTCTCCCTGGTTTAACGCACCTGGATCAATGATGACTCGTTAGATGGCCTAAGCATCTAACGAGCCGGTCATTACCACCGGTCATTACCTAAAATATGCAGGATGCCGGCCCTCCATGACTGACTTGGGGCACCCCTGATGTACAGTGAGTAACTTTGAAGTGGCCGAGGTGAGAAATCCTCTCTAAACCAACTTACTCAATGTTCTTGTCCCACACCCATCATCACCTATTCCCACGATGTCCTATTGATCATCCAAAGAGATCCGTTGGAGAAGATAAAAAGGAAAGGGAACAGCTGCACATTCAAAAGGTTGGAGGCAGTTCACCCACAAGTTTAGCCTTACAGAAATATCTAGCCAGCAGGAGCAACCAAAACAAACAAAAACAAATACAAAAACAAATGTAACAGTCCTTACAATGACTGAGAGGAAAAGTCAGCCATATGTCAAAATAACATTAAAAAAAAGCGTTATAGTAATCTTATTCCTGTTGACTGAAAAGCCTTATGTATAGTCATGGAAAACAGATCAATAAAAATAAAAACAAAACCAAAAGTTAAAGAAATTTTGTCACTCTCATATAGGTCCTCCACATTACTTACACTGAACTTGTGCTGAGGTGCTTGTGTGTCTGAGATTACTTACGATATGAATCACTGCCATCGGGTTCAGCAACTTTGTTCTTGTAGAATGGGTGCTTTCGTGTAAAACTGATTTTTTTTTTCGTTTGCTTGTCAGTGAATGACTGAAAGGAGAAAAAATATGTGGCATGCATGCATAACTGTCAGCTTCATGCAGACAAAGCAGATGTTTGCAAGAAGTGGGACATCAAGAAAACAATTTAAAACCAACAATTTCAAGCTGAACCTGCTCTTAAGATGAGTTCCTACAAAAAATGTGAATTGTATTCACATGATTCATAGATGCCTAACTTTAATGTCAACTAAATCAAATTGAGCAAAGACAGAATTTTAATTTCTAACTATATCTTTAAAGATTTTTTATGCCACTGGTGTCCTTTATTTGATAGTAATCTGACAAGAAAAGTTCAGAGAGAGCGAGGAAAAGAGCTGCAGCAAAAGAATCGAGTATGGCAGACTAACTTGGGATGGCTGCATCAAAGTCTGTAGCCTCTGTATACAGATCACTGTATACTCTAACCACTGTGTCACATTAAGCCCCAGGAATTCTAATGTAACTTTTTTACTTGATTATTGTTTATTACAATAACAAACATTACTACTATCATCAGGGCAGTGGTAATAATTTATATGAATCTTAAACTAATTTTTTGTAGCAAACATAAAGGGTAGGGTGTTGGTAATTATTAGACCATTACAACAATAATAATAAACTATGACGGCAATTAATAAGCAGTGAAAATGCCATGTAGAGTGAAATACTTGCCTTCTTACAGATGTCTTCAGTTTATGCCTTTTTGCAGCACTTACATGTATGTATCAGATCAATGTTGGATAAAGTTAAGCTGAGTAAATTACAGAGATCAATTTTCAAATATTATTGATTAATTGAAAACAGCTATTCAAAGTGACATGGCCTTCTGGAAATAAGACCCCTGATAACACTTTATTTGAAGGGGTGTGAATAAGACTGACATAACACCTGTCATGAACATGAATAAGTCTTCATGAATATTTATGACTGTTGTCATAAAGTGTCATTCGGTAAATCATGACACTTTTAATACAAAGTTGACATTATTCAAAATGTCTTTGTTATGACAACTTGACATTAACCAAGAAATCACGATCTGACATAAATTTATTATAAAAGTATTACCGATTAAACTTTAAAAATTAGCTTTATGTAGTAATATTATATAGCTCTGCCATGTTGTTTAGTCTTAATTTTCTTAATTTAATCGATCCTAAAGTTTTACAGCAAGATGTCTACAAAGCACTTACGAACATAGCATTTGAAACATTATTTAAGGCTGTTTAACCCTTGTGCGTGCGAGGACTGAGGCAAACGTAGAGAACTGTGGCAAATGATAAAAGTTTTATGTGTGTGGGGTCGGTTGGTATGGACCCCATTTCAAAACACAAGGGCTGAGTAGTGCAATACACCATCTCCACCAGTGAGAGGCAGCAGTCCACGAACAGGCGTGCAGTTTGTTGGTGAAGAAGAAATCTTCCATATTGTGGCGCAAACCTAACAAGTTATAACGGCCAGACCTCCTGTTTAAAAAGAAGCCGAAGTTTGATACCTAATACATATGAGGTATGTTTCTTATTAACTTTACTTATTTTTTTTTTTTTTTTTAGAAAATAACATCTATTTCTCTTTAATGTTAGCTATGAGCAATTCAAGCCAATCCTACCTTAGTTAATGTTAGCTAAAGTTATTAAACTTCATTACCGTAACGTTAGCCCTTAATATTAAACATATTTTAAAGACAGGCAATTTGTTTTTTCCCCCTCCAATTTTAATCTAGCAAATTAAAAGCTAATATATTAGTCCAAGTAATCCTTCATGTGCATTATTTAGCGACTTGGCTGATGTGACACAGTGCTTGTGTTCTTTGCTTTGGCAAGTTTAGCCACATGAAGACCCATGTTAGCCTAGGAAACATGGTGTGGGGGACAAAGTTGGCTAATGAAGACATGCTACGAGTGTGGAGGATGATAATAAGGACCAGCCACCAGAGAAAGAAGTTTCTACTTTACCAAAGAGAAAGAAGCAGATGAAATATTCCCCAAGAAAATTAGGTAAGTCGTTTTTGTGTTAATATTTTCACCATGTGAAGTGGGGTGGGACAGCCAGGTAAGTGGAGAATGGGGAGCAGGAACCAACATTCACCAGCTGAGTTAAGTTATTTCTGGTTAGAAATAATTTAGAATGCTTATTAAGTGAAAAGATGCATCCA